AGGTCATAGAAGCACATGTTCGACCATTATGGCTGCCAAAAGGGAAGCCGGTTCCTTCAGTTCACTTATTTAAACATCCCCCCGACTGAAACATGGTATCCATCACTTTCAAATATCCTGGCAGATATGTGTAAAGTGTGAATGAAAGTAGACTTAGGCTAAGGCTGATGAGGGGAACGTTGTCTTGTCTGGCCCTTGCCTGCTTTTCACTTCCGTGTCTTTAACGTGGAGAATTTGAGCCACATAATTTGGCTCTATATTACAACTTGTTTATAAAAGAGACTTTAGCTATGATAAATAATATTTAAAATGGTGAGCATCTGATTAATTGCTTTGCAATCTGAATTTTGCATTTGTTTACCATTTATAATTTTGAGGAAAGCTGCCTAGCTTTGTGGAAACCCACAAAACTTTTGGATTTATTATATTCTATTTGCAAAGTGGGATTATTTGAAAATTAACATTGTGGTTTCAATATAAATTGCCACATAACCTCTAAGACAGTTTATGAAAAGGAAAAATGGGGTAGGTTACTTTTTCTTTAAGCAAATGATTTAGCAGGAATTAGAGAGCTCGATAATTAGAAACTACCTGGCATTTACCAGTCGGGTGAGTAGAGGTTGCTAATCTGTGTTTACAACCAAATGATCAAATACACAAAACATTCAAGGTTGTTTTTTACCTCTATGTTTTCTTTTACATTTGTTAAGCTATTATGCCCATAGGTGATAAACATTTGCTTGAACGAGGAGTTGCTTTTCTTAGTCACAACTGTTTATACTACAAATGAGGAACAAAGGCTATTATTTCAGACAAATAATGGACAAAAATATCCATGCATGTTTTCAGAAAAATAGTTAGGGCAGAGAAGATGTTATTGAGACTAGGGAAGCAGAGTAATTCCTGCCATTATCTTTTCTCTCCTGTGATGAATCAAAGTGATGAGGAAATGTACTTGGGAGAAGGATGAGCCTTTCTCAGTGATCCCTTGTCAGTTACCAAACAATCCCATCAGGGATTTTCTGGAAACTTAGCAACAATATATTAAGAAATGATTGCAAATTATAACTATGTGAGTCCTAGATTTCTACAATACATGTAGAGATATAGATATACCTTTTCCTCATACACTGGAGTATATTTAAGAATTAATTACATATTATAAGTAAATTATACAGCCCTAGATTTCTATTGTATAGATATAAATATACTTTTTCTCCCATATTGAAATATATGTATACATATATGACTATTTAGTTTCTTTTTTCCCTCAAAATTCTTATTTTCTCTAAATTCTTGACTTTTTAGTAGGAAGAATTAAAATCACTTTTATGATTAAACAGAGATTAAGGTAATGTGTGTGTTATTATTTTTTCAGTTATTCCTGCTGAACACAGTTTCTCAGTTGTGCTAGGTCTGGAGAAACTCAAATCTATCTTGCCACAGATGTTGAAGGTTCCCTGGGCCCT